TGGAAACTGTTTCATTTTGAGTGGAGTAATTAAATACTTGTTAAGCCATTGGCCTTCAGGTTAGGGAACTTGCCTGGAAGGGGACAGATGAATATTTCAGACTGTTGTGATTAACAGTTCACTATTTTAAGCTAAGCCAAGTAGGGAATAAATCTCTAGCATTCTCCTTCCGAGTAAAGCTTACTTTAAAGTCTCATTCACACACTGCTTTGCTTGGTCTTTCTCCTTTACATGCCACTCCTAGCTAGTCTAGAGTTATGAAGACAGTTTTAAAGAAAGCTGGAATTTCATGGTCAACATTTCCTGTTGCTGGCATTGAAGGCTCTCCAGGCACTGTCATCCTTTGCAAAAGAGATTCTAACGTGCCCAACATAACAAGTCTCGTGAATAAGAGTATCTATAAACAATCTTCTGTGTATATCACCTCTAACTGATTAAATTTCTTACGGTTTACCAAATTTCTATTCAGGTAAAAATGAAAACGCTCTCTGCCAATTTCAACAAGCTATGGCAAGCATTTTGCTGCTAGCAATATACATATATGGGTTGGAGGCTGTTAGATATCTTGTGCAGGATCTCATCTTATCTAAAGCACAAAAGTTAAAGTTCGGCTTTTCCTCCTTTCAAGACATGTCAATCACATTGTTTAAGGCAATTCAACCTCAGTATGTAGAAAATTCATTAACATTCTTTGTACATTCTTTCCTGAAGTTTCCCAATTACTGAAGAAGTGTCAAAGCTACCATCTTTAGAAGATTTTTTCCAAGGGCAAAGAATTCTGATGGATTTTCTTCTAGCAATACTACAAATAGGCTTCTCCCTTTTTGATTATTTTCTTTTTTTTCACAAAGTCAGGGAACAAATTGAGAGAACAAGAAAAAGCAATTAAAGATTGTTTTCAGACTTCTTTATTCCTACAGATCTGGTAGGTTGTGAGATGGTGGATCCATCCTACATCCTTATTTTTTGTATGTTGTTATGTTGCAGTAGCTACCACTGCTATTATTAACACTTTTTTTTAGTGGCAGTTGTTATAATACGTAAAATCACCCAATGCTACATTCCCTAACTATATTCCAAAAGATACGCTGGCTTCAAGAAATGTGAACAACTCTCTTCCTTTATAAATTGTGATTATGGATAAAGCAAAGGGACCTATGTGTTTGCACATAGGTTAGTTAAAAATTTTGCCCGCCTGATCCTAAAATGTCCCTGCAGAGCTGTTTTGAACTTCCCGGAAAAACAGAGAGGATATGAGATTGAATTACATCTATGATGCCATGAAGCTGAGAAATAGAGAACTTTGACTGAGAATGAAAGTGATGACTCACAACAGATTCCACCTTGTTGTCTGTGTTACTCTGTTTTTTGTTGTTTTTTTTAAACACATTTAAATTTGCTATGAAAGCAAAATAAATAATCTTTAATTGGTGCTTTTACTTTGAAAACCAAGAAGCCCAATTACTTTCTTACAGATCTTCGAAATAGAGAAACAAAGTTCCAAAAAAGCAGGTCTGAGGCTTCTATTCATAGACAAATCCTTCATTTTCTTCTTTATGAACTCTTCAGTGATTCTCCCAGCTCTTACTGCCTAATAGTGGGCAATCAGTGCTTTACAGAAATGAGGTCCTGTGAATTGCCAGCAGCTAAAGGCTGATTGTCAGAGAAGGGGATGATCTTCATTTTACCTAGCAAGCAGGCAACAACTCTTAGCTGGAGTACTAGCATTTCAAAACCTTATCTGGTTTATTAATAAAAGTGTGACTGATATAAGCCACAAATGCTGTGGAGGTTTCACAACAAAAGGACATTCGTTCTTTCTAAATAGGAAAGTGTCACTACAGACTCAAAACAAGAAAAACATACCAAAAGAAGTATTGCCTTTGTTAGCAAGGCTGTAACAATTCCTCCTTGCCTCTTGTTATGCTCAATTGTGTTTAGAAGCTGACTGAAATGGTACAGCAAAGAACTTTTTGAATGCACTGAGCTAAACATTTTCAAAGCAAGGCATCACACACACATACACACACACACACAAAACAATCCAAAAAAACAAAACAAAACATATGGATATTTGGCCACATCACTTTCTCTCATATAGTGTTAAAGTGAACACTGAATCTTGGAACAAACCCAGTCAGCTGAGGGCAAAGGTTTTCATGGCAATATGCTAGTAACCCATCTGTTCCTTTTTTTAAACATTGGTACATTTCTGTCTGCAAGCTGACCCATTCCTTAAGCGTATAGACACATCACTTAAGGATTTAATAGTCAGAGACACTGAGAAACTGTCCAGATCTCTCTTTGACAGTTCAAGAGACAACTCCAAGAGGCTGAAATACTACTGGGATTTGAAATAGCACATGCAAAGAGTCTCAGTTTCTTCAGCTAGTTAAAGTGGTTTGTTTCTACAGTTTCATATGCATTAAAAATAAATGTATAGCAAGTAATATTTTAAAGTAACTTTCTGTTATACTGCTGGCATCATCTCCAAAACAGTCGTATGTCTTAATGACATTCCATTTACTTAACTGCTTTTCTCATTAAAAACACAGCCCTGGTGGTACTGATTGCTCAACATTCGACTAGATCACACAGAGCAGCCTGGTCTGAAGAGGCAGGCAAAAAACTCAGGGCAGATCAACAACCACAGGGAAGGGAAGTTCCCAGCTAAGAGTTTAACAGGTTGAGGAACAATGTGCATTGCCTGATGCACTTAATAGCCAGGAAGTTACTCATCACTGTTTGTGATTCTTGCTGAAAATACTAAAATAATTTCCAGTACTTCATCCAAGTATCTTTCAGCTGACAGTGGATCCAACACTATTAAAAAGGCTATGCACAGTTCTACACATAGAGTTTCTGCAAATGAAATTAAACACAGAAGTTGATGAGGTATCTTCCGTTTCATTTTGCTTAGCTGGAGAGTACATTAAAGCAGTGCCTTGAAAAGGATGGTTACAACATAGTCCAGACTGCACTACGCAGTTTAAGACACCAAGTCCTTGTTTTTTCCTCTCTTTGTAAATCAGATACAACTGAGGTTTTATACTCTGAGGAATATTTATTATTTCCTATCTTGGTAGGAAAAAATAATGCAAAGTTCTCTTATACTCCCAGGATGAAAAAGTTATTTTCATTCAAGCTCCCTCATCACATCACCCTGCAGCTAAAATCTGTTTTTTGTCTTTGCAGTGAAAATCAGTATCCCCAGATGGTGAAGAGCTGTTCAGGGTGTCCTTCCTCACCTGCACAGAAGGATAGTGAGAATGCAATGGTCTTATGAAGCTCTCTGAGGGCCTGGTGAAGAGATTCCATCTGCACCAGCCTCTGGAGGAGGGCCCTTAAGGAACACAACGTAGACCCAGCAAAAATCTTCCAGGAATATCTGCCAGGCAGAAATGTTCCTCCAGGACATGCATGCAAGGTCTTATTTGTGAAAGGTTCCAGGTGCTCTTACTTTTCACCTGTTTGCCCTGAGGCTTGGGGGCTGGAGAAAAGATGCCATTAGCACCCAGGAGCCCTACAATTATGTCAAAATAGCACCCTGACTCTCTGTCTGTGCTGCATTTTGCAAGATGCGTATCCCAAAGATGGGAAATTCTGCAGAATGTTTCTAACCACAAAGCACAAACTGTATGTCCCCTCTCTTGTGTTCCTTCTTCAAGAGGCTCGGCTGTGTTGCACAAGACCAGATGTTACATGATACAAAATCATGACTTCACGTACTCTCTGAAATCTGTGATGCCGATATTAGAAAATTCAAGGAGCTAATGAGGAAATAGATACTACTGCTTAATGCCTCATTTTTGTACTTCTTTTTGTACATGGATCACTCTTAGTGCAAAGATCAAAATTAAAATTTGTCTCAACAGATTCCTGTTTGGTCTTAGCGATCTGCAGATCAGGAAGACATGAATAACATGCTGCGATTGGACAAGTATAATGGAAGCATTTCACTGACATACCTGGTGATGCCTGACAATGCCAGCTTTCAGATGAGGCCCTCAGCTCTTTATCTGAGCTCTAATGTTTTGTACATAAATGATCACATGGCAGTTTTGAAAAGCGCACAGAGACAACCCCAGGTTTGTAAGTAGCATTCACTTTCTTAACACATAATATAATATGCAGGGTTGTTGCTGACTGAAGCTTGGCTGTTAATGTTTTCCTGCACAGCCACTGTACTTACAGGCACCTAATTCATCTGAAAGCAGTTTTTAGGATTCTGAGAGAGATGTTAAATAAAACTAGATTACATTTTTCCATTCTGTCTCACATGCAAATCTCTATAAATATAAACCAATTCTGTGTATGCAGTTTGAAAATAAGCTTTGCTAGTGAGTACTTTTAGAGGGTTTTTCACATCCTTTCTTAGAGGCAGTATCATTTCTCCCTTCAACATGAAGAACATACTGGAAGAGACTGGAAAATCTGCTAAAATTACAGCTGTATCTCAACAGGTAACTCAACTCACAGGTACACCTCTGCTGCAGCACTTTCCCGAGCACATATCTGTAGTGCAAAAGTCATTTTGGTACTAGAACTTTCCATGTCCTCATTGGTTATCAACAGAATCAGATGTTATTTATTCATGCAGTAGTTAACAAGCAGGGGTTTAATTACCCTAGAGCTGTAGGCTGTTCCCTGCAAAATGCTTGTTAGGACTTAATTATTTTTTGAAGAATAAAAAGATCTTGACAAGAAGATAAGTATGAGCTCAGGGAACCAGAGGTCCTGGTCCAAGTCATTTTCCTCTGCTGATTATGGATTTGGTGAAAACCAAAGTTTAATTTTGGTGAATTAAAATTTCTGACAGAGCCAGACTCTTTGAATGCTAAGTCAAATAAAGAGGTGCATGTGCTGAGCTGATCATTTTCTGGAAAAATTAATATAAATTAATGAGACCACCAAATGTCTGTGTAAACCTTCAGTAATATACAGAAAGGGATATGAGATATGAGCATTTTGAGAACAAGATGTATTTTCCATTTACTCACCGCTTATCCAAGGGGCCACTTTTCTTTGTCATCTTGTCTAGTGAGACTGTTCTTTCTTCTGAAAAAAAAAAAAAAAAAAAAAAAGGTAAATAATGGAAATCACATATATATGTGTAATGTACAAAATGGTCATTAACTACATATCTAACTTGAGCAAAAATTTGGTGGTCAGTTGACTACTACTTTTTTTTTTTTAAGTTGTGCACAATGCTTTACAGAAGTAAAAATGAAAACCAAACCAAACCCAAACTAATAACCACGAAGATAAACATTCTTTACTGACACACAGCATCATAAAACTTGACTTTTCAGGTGAGAATATATTAGGCTTTGGAGTTTCATTGCTCAATAAATATTTGTTTCCAAAAATTGCAAGAGAGAGAGCTGGCAGAAGATAATGCCAAATGCACATGAGTCTGTCTCAGACTATTTTTGGTAGCCACACCAAGTTTTGGAATTAAAAAAAAAAAAAAGAGAGAAACAAGCAATATGTTCTTAGATATAATTTCTGATCTGTGTAGAAAAGTGCAAAAAATACCTAAGAAGTTACTTACAAGTGCTGTGAACTTTTTAATGTTATGACTTGCTATGCAAGAAATTTTCAAAGTAACAAAATTCTTAAAGAGATCAAAAAAGAACAAAGAGATTCTGTAGAAACAATGGAGCAAATATATCTCAAGGATAACCCCACTGAGATCAGTGGAATTGCACTAGGGATATACTTGGCCCAGTGACTCCAGAAATGATGTTAATAAGGAGCCTTAACACTACTGCTAGAGAAATCTCTATTTAAATCATGCTGTGGCAGTTCATGTGAAAAAGTAAATGGGGCCTTCACACGAACTGCACAGCATGTGAGTGTGAATCAACAGGCTATAATAAATTGGTTTGGTTTCCTTCTCCCAGACTTAAGTAAATGTATTATATTGTTGCATTTGAGATGTTATAATGAAGGTTATGTCATTATTCCATTATGTACAAAAAAGCCTGATTGTGTCCCCCCTTCCCCCTCCTCCCCCCCAAAAAAAGGTCTGACAATGAAAAATAGCTTTGAGAAAAAAAAGAGAATCTCTAGATCAAAATTAATGAGTGATAAATCCCCGTTAAAAATCCTCTGTTTGACTAAGACTTGATCTGGTAGGCATCAATAAGCTCAGGATGAGGAAATATTTTGTAAAATAAAGGCCACATTTTTTTTCTTTTTCAATGGAAAACAAACTGAAATGGGTTTCTAAAAAATTCTGGTTTCTTATAGAAAGAGAATGATTTAAGCAGTGTGAAGGAGTGCAGTATCTGGCATCTATGATATGGTATATCTTTTAGAACTGTGAAAAAAAATAAAAACAAAAAGACAGAACTTGAATTGTTAGGGAAAGGAGTGACCCTTTCAACTTAAATTGATGATGATAAAAAAGTAAGACAGGATCAAGATTATTCTGTTAAAATAATCACCAATAACAGGACTGCTCTGGCCTGCCCCATACATAGCACAACTCACATATAAAGCAATTTGTTCATCAGCAGATTTTAAGGCACTTTGCAGTTGCAATCTTTTAAGTACTGATGGGGAAACTAGGATGCAAAAAGTTAAGGCAGGCAGCATCAATGGGACAGGTCAATGCAATGGCCACTGGACTACATTGCATCTCCCAAGGTACCAGGCATAACCCAGTAACAACACTTCCACAGCGCATCACCATCTTGAAATATAACTGATTCTTTAAGCTACTTTCTGCTTGAGGACTTTCAGGATTCAGTCTCCACCAAAGAACAAAATCTAGTTTCCTAATTTAGTGTCTGTTTGCAGTGAAGTGTTCAAACTCAGCCAAAAAAAAGCCCCCTAAAAAATAAATCTAACAACCCACGCCACAAAACAAGTCTGTGAGCATGTGAAAGAGATTATAAGATGTAGTGTCTGTGCACTGGCCTGAACTCACTGCACTGGACTCTGTGACCCCAAAGGTCAGTTCCAGTCCTTTGCCCTATAAACAAGAAAACTACGTTGGTCTCCTTTTCAGAGCTCACTGAAAAAGAAATGCAGCGTTTCACAGATTTCATCTTGCACATTCAAAATAATCATATCCTGACGTTTCAACTGTTAAAAAGAGACAGTATTTACTACCTAGCATGAAACAGACCAGACGGCTAAAATGCATAACGAAGTTAAACCATGATATGAGACAGATGAACTCATGTAGATAGAATAAGACAAGACTCAAACTTCAAATTGATACCAAGCTAAATGCTTTATTGAAGCAAGATAAACCCATTAATCTTTTTATTTATCTTCCAGTTCTCTTTCACTGAAGAGAATTCTATGGAAGTGCTAGCTGACATTCTGGGGGGAGCAGTTCCTGCCTCTGGTACAGCCTCCTCAGCTATACTGGGACGGGTGCTTAGCCCCTCCTGCTAGACTTTCCAGTCCCATTCTGGTATTCCTCTTCCCCCTCCTTTTTATCTGATGTATATACTTTAAACAAAAAATAAGATCAAGAACTGCCTTTTACAGTGCTTGAGGTTTTGGTTTCAGCTGCTGTATGCGTGCAGTACTACTGATATTGATGAAGATATTTTTCTCTTCAAGTCCCCCAGCATCACCTTGATGGATCTTGTTGGTAGAGATACATACTTCATGTACATTCTATTTGGTTTAACATCCTGAGTATAAATTATTTCAATTTGTAAAGTGCTAGGAGATGAAAGAGAAATGTTGCATTTAATTTTGCCTTCACTGTATTAACTCTATGGCATAACCATACCTTCAATCCAAAACTAAAAGCAAGCACAGATATTGACCACACTTTAATCTGTACTTCATGGTAAGCAATTTTCATTCTGCTGTGTTATTTCTCTCTATATTGCCACAATTATACTTTGGATTTCTGCATGAATCCTTCGGGTTACAAATGTTCCACTTAATAAAATGGAAAATATTTTTATGGAAGAGAATGTTGCACAATCCAGAATGATCCCTCTCACCATCATTTGTTCTAGAATTATTTAGAAATATTAATTACTCTATCTGCATTTCATAAATAGCTCAAGCACGCCCAAGAGAGCACAAAAATTACTTATGTTTGGATCCTTTAACTGCTGTTTTTAAATTAGCTATCTCGGTCTTGTTTTCAGTTGTGCATGGCACAGAACAGAGGTGGAGCAAACTCTCCACTCTTCCTACCATTTGTGACACAGTCTTTAACCCAAATCAACAATCTTTATGATGGTTCCAGATATATTAAGAAAATATCTTAATGAACTATTTATTAATTTGTTTGAAGGAGGAAACATAAAACGTAAAAAAAAAAAACAGAGGTAGAGAAAAGCCAAGCAAAAACATTAAGCCTAGATCTTAGTAGAAATTAAGTGATGTTTTTCTCCCAATCAGTATCTTCAGGAGTAAAACAAAACATTCAAGAAAGTGAGACTAAAAAAGCCTGAATATCATTATAAAAAATAAGAGCTTGTGGCCTTGCTGAAACTGGGCAGATAAAGTCTAGAAGATCCATTCTACTTAGACTTTTGAAAATATGATCTCATAGCACTAATTAATGGCCTCATTATGTAAATATACCAGTGAGTCTTATCTTATACAATAGTATATAGAAGCAAAACCCATCACTGAAGGCAGCAGCTCCACACCCTGCTGCCTTTCACTCACTCCTCCCTACTAAGCAGGACAAAGGAGAGAATTTGAAACAAAATACAACTCATGGGTTGAGTTAAAAACTATTTACTAAGACAGAAGAGGAAAATGGAAACGAAACTGCAATGATGGCAATATGGAGAGCCACAATGCAATTACTTGCCCAGCTAAGGCACGGCAACAATACAACAGCCCACCAGCAACACAAGGCCTCATTCCCTCTGACTGACACCCAGCAACCCCCAAGTGGCAGCCAGCCTCTAGCCAACTACCCACAGATTTATGACCTTCCACATGATGTTACATGGTATGGAATAACCACTGGCCTAATTCAGGCCACCTGTTCAGGCTCCTCCTTGCCCTCTGGTGCTGTACTAGAGAGGTGGCTGAAACCAGAATAAACCAGGCCAAATGGAACAACTAGTTAAAAATGCTTGTTAGAGAGAAAAAAGCAGAAAGAGCTAAACAAAAAAAAAATATATATATATATATATATATGATGTGTGGACCTCCCATAATTAGCATGTTCAATTTGGAACAGTGAGTCTGCTCTCCCGTGAAATATTACAGAGTTTGAAAGGTCTTCTGTGGCTGTACTGAACAATTTTTGAATGTTACTAGAATCCTAGTAAGAGTAGCTATTACAAAAACAAAGCCTTTTCAATTATCCTGCAATTCTCTTCTAGCCTACTAAGAATCTAAGTGTTGATCATTTAAATGGCTTGCTATAGTTCCATGCTTTATGCATTGGTATTTAAAAATGCTCCTATTGCCCCAGCAAGGCACACTGCTGAGTTCATGTCATTATGTGGTTAAATACTTATTTCAAAAACCTACTCAAAGCTGTCTGAAAAGTGAGTAGGCCAGTCACAGCCATCTGCTGAAAGACAGGAAATGCATTAAGGCAATAGAATACAGTTTTCCTCTAACATTTAGGTTGAAAAGCATATAAATCACTATGTCATAGCATCTTAGACATTACAAAATGGTCTCAGCTGTAACAGCATGCTTCAGGGCAATATTTACTGCTAATTCTAATTATCTTTATTATAGGTATTCAACTTTGGTATTTTTATTTCCTTAGCTCCTCTCCCTCAGATTATCTAAATTACAAATTTCTGTTCTCATATAATAACTACACTTTACCACTATTATTAGGATGTCGGTTCTCATTCATGGTCACTTCTTTGGTTTATATGTAATTATGAGAAAATTAGTTCTTTCCCTTTATAAGTGTTCAGCCTATTCAGTTTGAATAGTACAATGAAATAAATTTGGTTTCTACTGCAGGGAGATAAGGAAGAATACTTCAATTTCTGTTCCTGCTACATCCCACATTATATTTTGTTTAATTTTATTTTCTTTCACAGAGGGACACTCGGTGATGCTGCTCTGAAGCTTCACTCCCAGAAAAA